GGGTTGACCTCGTTGCTATGGATGATGTCAGCATGCTTACTAACTATGCACACAGTAATTGGCTGATAGTCTCTGTCAGAGATTAATTCACGGAAATATTGTCGAGCGCAATATTATGTTGCCGTATTCAAATAAAGGTTTAAAAGATAAAAAATTTTAATTGCCACATTCAAATAAAGATTTTAAAATGCAGGATAAGTCAGGTCCTGCACCTCAAACATGATGCGCACCTGTGTGACGAGAGCGGCGACATCATCAGCATCATCAGCATCATCATCATCATCAGCATGTACTACAGACCTGGGCCCGTATTCACAAAACATTTGATCTTACCATTAAGAGTTCTCCTAAATAGCAGTAAAAGTTTTCAGCTAAGAGTTTTCTCTTAAAAGCTATTCACAAAGCTGCTAAGGAATAGAGAAGTCTTAAGCTCAGAGTAAGGGGGCGGGGCTGAGCTCGTTGCTATGGGTGATGTCAGCATGCTTATTAACTATGCACACAGTGATTGGCTGATAGTCTGTCAGAGATTTATTCACGGGAATATTGTAGAGCACAAATAAATAAAGGTTTAAAAATAAAAATGTTAATTGACATTCAAATAAAGATATTAAGATGCAGGCTTAGAGTCACTAATTAAACATGTATATGTTCAGCTAATTGTCAGCCTCTTACATGTATGCTTCTCAAAAACAATTAGCGGATATGCATATAAACAGCCTTTTAAATAACAGAGTAGGATAATTATGGATGACAGTAGGCCTAATACATGCAAACGTAAAAAAAATAAAATAAATAACTGGACGCAAGAACAGCTGTTACTTCTTGCCCAACTGGTTAATATTTCTAAAACGTTTACGTTCCGACTCGAGGCAGATCGCCGGCAACAGCTATTTTAGGATAGTTTGTGGCTTGGTTTTAGTGACTTAGGACTCCTCTTCACTGCTCCTAACCTTTCACAGATTTAGGAGCTAGTTTTAGTGCTCAAATGCTTTGTGAAATACTCTTAGAGCAAAAATTTAGGAGTCCTAAATTTAGGACTGACAATTATTTTTAAGATTTTCTCCTAAATCGGGGAGTTATGAGCTACTTTTAGCCTTAAGATGTTTTGTGAATACGGGCCCAGAATTGCAAGGTATAAACTCAGAATTCTGATTTTCCCGCAATTCTATGTTTACATTTTGACTTTCTAATTTTTTTTTTTGGAATTCTGAATTTAAATCCCGCCATTCTGTTTTTTTCCCCCACCATGGAATAAAAAATAAAAAAGGTAATTGCGACTCTTTATCTCACATTTGACATTTCACAAAGACCCGCCCCCCTTAGTTACTGTTGCTATGTCCGACAAGCCTTGGCGCTCTCAGGCCACACATCGTCTTCTCAAGCAGTGAAAAATACATTGCGGAGCAAAGAGGACACAACGCGCCAACAGACAAGACAGAGCAGGTTACTTTTGTTATGAAACGAAGTCTCAGCTTTCAAATTTTGCGCTTTTTTAAAGAAATCCAAACAATAATTTGTGGCTCTTTAATGTGTCGTGACAGATCGCTGTAGCTCCTCAGTTCAACTGGCACGTTCATCTCTTTATTAGATATAGCACGAAATAAACATGAAGGAACATCAGAGGGTATCTTGTTTCAACCATGAAAAGACGCAAATACACACCATTTTTCAAGTTCAAGTCCACCGACGTTAATCTACTCTTCTGTCTAGTTTGTTTGTCGGACAAAATGAAAATGGCAGATTCTGCGTCATGATAGGTTGTTTGCACATGACGTCATTACTGTGGCGCGAAATGCAGCTGGAGGGCAGGACGTGATCAGGACGTTTTCTATATGGGAATCGTTAGCAGAAACTCAAAATGCCTATGTTTTGCATTGTTTATGGATGCTCAAATCGGTCAAACTGAGAAACCACAAGGAGCTATTATCGTGTACGAATATTTGTTGCTCATAAGGGTGGAAAAGGAAAGAAATTGACTGAAAAATGCAGGAAAAAGTGGCTTGAAAAACAGCTTCTGCGGTCAGGAGGAGCCGAGTCGGAGAAATGTTCGTGTGTGCAAATGGTTAATATAAGATACAATAATAAATTAAGTTATTAATAAAGAAATATATAAATAGATACAGGGCTGTCAACTCTCACGCATTCAACATGAGACAGTCCGAATTCACTCAACGCTAAATGCCACACGTAGACGTATCCATTCCACTGCCTCAATGGCAGGCAAGTATTTCAATTTAGTTGAAAAATCGCTCCTCTTCATAACATAAGGATCACAATGTTGTGATTTTCTGTTTATACCTCTCTCTTGTAAGCGTGTCTAAACCAGTACAGTGCGGACTTCCCGCCATCTCATCCATTCTGCTTTTCACTTCCTGCCCTCCATCAGAATCATGTGATTGCAAAGAAGCTAATGTATCACAATTTTGACATTTCTTCTCCGGAATCCGGGTTTATATCTTGCAATTCTGAGTTTATTTCTTGCAATTATGAAAAAAGTCAGAATTGAGAGAATTGTGAAAAAAAAAGTTGCAATTACCTTTTTTATTCTGTTGCTGAAACAGGCTTCTATTTAAAAGAACCATTTTCTTAGTGTAGAGCTTTAATATATATATTTTTTTTTTATAAGTTAAAAAACCTTTTCCACTATAAAGATCCCTTTGTCCAATGGAACAGTTACATGGATGTCAAAGGTTTTTCATGGAACCATAGAAGCCAATAAAGACCCTTTATTGTCATTTAGTTAGTCTATGTGGGTTTTTTTCCCCGGCTACTCCAGTGAGGCGTTTGATTAAGTACACTGGATATGGAAATGCAGCTGGGCTCCTGGCCACTAGAGGTTTGCTAGGAGGTCAGAGGTCAAAGGCCACATCATCAGGCACGCAGTACTCTAGCGATTCAGACTCGGACACCGAGGAGTACCGGCAGATTAAAGACCGAGTGAATCCAGTGACGGGACAGGTGGAAGAGGAGCAGCCTGATCCAATGGAGGGAATGACAGAGGAGGAGAAAGAGGAGGAGGCACACCGGCTCATCAGTCTTTTTAAGACCAGGTTTTTAGGCCAAAAATCTATATAATACAATCTAAAAAATGCTGGGTTGAATACAACCCAGTGCTGGGTAAAACAGGGACAAACCCAGCAATTGGGCTGTTTTGACCCAGCGGTTGGGTTAAATGTTTAACCCAACCTTCTGGGTAGTAACTCAACCGCTGGGTCAAAACAACCCAATAGCTGGGTTTGTCCCTTTTTAACCCAGCATTTTTTAGAGTGTAGCCTAATAGTTATATTTATTTTTCATCCTCTCTAACCCAAATTTTTTAAAATATTAACTAAATAAATAAAAATGCATTTAAAAAAGTACAATTTACACTACCGTTCAAATGTTTATTCTTTTTATTTGAAAGAAATGAATAGTAAACGAGACTGCATTAAATTGATCAAAAGTTCTCAAGCAGCAAATGAGTAAATTAAAATGATTTCTGAAGGATCATGAAGACATTTTACCCTATTGTTTATTTTTTTTTATTTCCCTTTCCGCATTTATTTCTTCCCCTTTCTCTTTACCTGCCCCAGTTTTCTCTCCATGTACATGAGTAGGTTGTGCACACAGTCCATGTTGGCTCCATTCATCTGGTGTGAGTCTGGATCCAGAGGCACAGATACCAGAACGTCTAAACAGCTCAACGGGAGAGCAGACAGCATATTCGCTGCATGCCTGAGAGAACGAGAGCGAGATGAGGACAAGCATATGCTCAAATCTGTCCTCTTTCAGTCGAACGTTCCCTCTGTCAGTTTATAAAATGAACTGAAATGCAGAAATGTACAGCTCATATTTTTATTGAAGCATTTACATGAATCGTTCATATGAGTGGAGAAAAGCAGACACAGACAAACATGGCATCCAGAAGAAGGAAGAGCTTGTGCTCACGGTGACACTGGTAAGGTACACTGGCTAAAGAGGCCTATATACTATGATCAATTTAGAGATATGAGAGAGAAATTCTTTGAAAAAGTCACATCTAAATCCTCATTTTTTTAAACGGTCACAAACAGATCAGACGCAGGTGTTACTGAGGGAAGACAGTTAGACATCTGTCAGCCAAATTAATATATGCTCTACACATGTGATCCGATACTAATATTCACTAGTTTGTTTATTGCCTTCACAACAGTGTAGTCTTAATGTGTTTTATTATTTAATTGATTTGACTTTATATTGCAATTATTATTCTGTTCTTATTTTTATAATGGTCTTATTTCTCTTCTTTTTTTCTAACATCTTTCACTTCTTTGTCTTGTGTGTGTGTGTGTGCTTGTGTCAATCATTGCATCCGTCAGCCAAATTAAACACGTGATTCTCATATTCACTAGTCTATTTATTGCCTGCAAAATGTTATATATTGCAATTATTATTCAATTATTATTTTTGGAGTCATGTTTTGTACTATTTTCTATTATCTTTCACTTCTGTGTGTGTGTGTGTGTGTGTGTGTGTGTGTGTGTCTGTGTCTTGATCTTGTCAATCATGCCAATAAAGTATTTGCATCTCTCAGCCAAATTAATAAGTGCACTATACACATGATCTAATTTTCTAATTCACTAGTCTATTGATGCAAAACAGTGTAGACAAAGTATTTTAATTTAATATATTGCAATTATTATTCTATTAATATTCTTTTGCATATTTCATTAATATTATTTATTAATATATTTTATTCTTTTTTATTACTATTTTTTTTATTATCTATGTTTGTCTTGATCTTGTCAATCATGCCAATAAAGTTTTTTTTACATTTAAATTATATTTGACTTCCACTTTTGACTGGAACGCATCGTAAATGCCAACATTTTCAATTAGTGGATAATTAAGGCTATAGATGATGTCAACAGGGCTTTCATTACATTACAACGGTATTTATCAACACTAACCCCTTTAATTCATCTGAAGCTTCCTCCTCCTCCCAGGACACCATCAGACAGTGACACAAAACTGCAGCCAGGTGGCGATAGAGAGATGCATCTTCCTGATAGGCACAAAGAGAACCTTGACATTAACAGTTACATTATATCAGTTTATTCAGTGCACTGTGTGGGTTTTTAATCACAGTCCTACAGTAACACCATCTGACACATCACGTGGTGCAATCATAGTTGTCTATAAGGGAGGTGAGTGTGATGATAATCTCTGCATACACTCACCTCTTCTGGTTCTTGAGTGTGTGTGCTGTGTGTGATATTAAATAGAATCTTCAGGGCCTCCTGAGCCTGCTGTGAGTCCTCCACACTTATAGGAGGCGCTGTAGGATCCAGCATGACCTCATACTGTTCCTTCCACTGGACTGATAAACTCTTCTCCAGCACTGTGGTCAACAGTGGCACTCCTCCCTCCTACAAATTAAGAAAAAGTCATTATAATATAGACATTAATAAGTTTGGGGTCAGAAATATTTTTTAATGTTTTTGAAAGAAGTCTCATATGCACGCCAAGGCTACATTTATTTAATAAAAAATACCGCAAAAACAGTAATATTGTGAAATATTATTACAAATTTAAATAGCTGCTTTCTATTTGAATATATTTTTAAATGTAATTTATTCCTGAGATGCAAAGCTGAATTTTCAGCACCATTACTCCAGTCTTCAGTGTCACACGATCCTTCAGAATTCATTCTGATTTGCTGCTCAAGAAACATCTCTTGTTATTCTAAATGTTGAAAACAGCTGTGCTGCTTCATATTTTTGTGGAAACCATGATACATTTGTTTTTCAGGATACTTTGATGAATAGAAAACATTAACATTGTAACATTATAAATGTCTTACCTGTCACTTTTGATTAGTTATAATGCATCCTAAACATTTGAACAGTAGTGTACATTATATAATAGCAGATTCGCTCGAAATTCACTAAAATAGAAGATGAAAAAGTAGATACTTGTTTCAGCTGTGCTCTGAGTTCAGATCTCAACGCCGTCAGTAAAAACATGAACCGGAGTGTGTAAAAGTGACCACAGGGGGAAGATGCGGACTGAAACTCCTTATTTAGCTTTTCTGTCAGACCACAGAGGAGACTGAAGTACAGCAAACAGTTGGAGAGAAAAGAAAAAATGCATATGGCATGAAAATATATTTAGTTTCAGCGAATACAGTGGCCCCATAAACACTTAAAGGGATAGTTCACCCAAAAATGAAAATTCTGTCATTAATAACTTATTAAACGCGGATACGCTGTTTATGTCGTTTATGCTTTGATCTGAACGAAAACAACGTATCCGCGTGGTGCAGCTGACACAAAACAGCATACGCAATTTACGTTCAGTGGATACTCTCCAAAATGGCGCTAGGGTGATGCGGAGGAGACGAATTGTTGAATAAAGTCGTTTTTTTTTTCTTTTGCACTCAAAAAGTATTCTCGTAGCTTTCGTAAAATTACGGTTGAACCCCTGATGTCACATGGATTATTTTACCGATGTCCTTGCTATGTTTCTGGACCTTGATCGTGTAAGGATCATTGCTGTCTATGGGAGGGTCAGACAGCTCTCAGATTCCATCAAAAATATCTTAATTTGTGTTCCGAAGATGAACGGAGGTCTTGCGGGTTTGGAACAACATGAGGGTGAGTAATTAATGACGAAATTTTCATTTTTGGGTGAACTAACCCTTTAAAGCTGCAGTCCGTAACTTTTGGCGCTCTAGCGGTTAATAAACTGCATGCGTCTTGCGGAAGAACATTGTAGCCAGAGCTACTTCTGTCTGTTTATGTCTATGACGAATCACGCAGGTACTCTGCAGCGGTACCTACCCGAACCAGTCTAAAATAATCCGAATATAAACACTTATTATAGGTGTACCGTAGTGATTCAGGACAAGGTAAAAACACGGTAAATTTTGAACATAAAAAAAGTTACGGACTGCAGCTTTAACAAACAAATAAAATGCAATAATTTCATTGCATTAACTCGTACACTTTTTTCAAAACTAACTTCACTATTTTTTTGCAATGACTTGTAACCAAGTGGTTAATCTCTCACTGGTTAGCATAAATAGGGCCCTGTGATTTTTGCAGACAGAATTCATGAAAATACAGATGGAATCTAGACATAAAAAATGGAATTTACTGTATAACACGGAATGTCACAGAATTTGGCAAAATTTGGATGTTTAAATCAAAGATTAGGGTTGTACAGTTAGTGAATCTTAAACAGCAAAAGGCTGCTATTTTAAATATGAAGTAATATGAAGTTAAAAATATAAATGTAAATATTCACTTCATCTTCAGAGCTGCTCTGAGAGTCACTTCATCAGCATTTCAGCCCGCCAAAATAAAAGTTTGGTTTATCTTGAAGAAATGATGACACAAATAAATTACTATTGTATACTAAAATGTACTTCTGAAAGTAATAATAATAATAATGATAATAATAATTTTAAGGAATATCACAATTTTTCTTTCATTTAAAGAATAAACCTCTGATGTGCCAAATTTTGCCATAGTTGCCAAAAATTAAAGGAACTGTTCAAATTTAATTTGATTACATTCTAAAAGACTAATTAAATTGCTAAGTTTTATGCATTCATTTAATTACCAATATTTTTGATAATAAATTTGTATTAAATCCTAAAATACAGAATCCAGAAAAATTAAGACAGACGACACAGAATTTCTGAAAAAATAAAATAAAAGAAATAAATGAATAAATTTCATAGGGCACTATAACTGTAAAAAATGTTAATAAATTAGGAAATTGCTAAAGTTTTATGAATTCAATTGATTATGATTAAGTTGATTCAATTGAATTCATTTCTGTTCATTCAATTCAATTAAATTCCTTTATGATGATTAAAATTTGATGAAACCATTAAAACAGAATCTGGAAAACTTAAACGGAACACACAGAATTGAGAAAAAAGAAACTTTTTTTCATAGGGCCCTAAGTTAAACTCCTGCTGGTAGATGAATGTAACTACACAGTTTGGCTGCAAAAAAAAAAAAAACTCTTTTATTTGCATTTTTCATAGAACTCATGAGGAAAGATGTTAGAATTTGAAACTGTAAGTTGAAATGATTCATACCTGAGTTCGCTGGCTCTCTCTTGTGCCCAAGTACTATTGTAAACAATGTTACAGAAGATTTTCATGACTTCCTTCCTGTTGACTTCATCATCAACTTTTTCTTCTTTTTCCTCCTCCTCCTCTTCTCCTCCCAGGCTTCCTCTGCTGTCTCTTTTACCAGGAGTGAGAGCTTTGAAGACACTGCTCCTCCTGCGAGAAGGTCTGAGGCTCATGTTTGAAAACGTGCTGGCCTTACGCTCGCCACACCAATCACTCTGGCCCCAGACCACAGGGTCGTTCACATCACTGCTTACGGCCCCAGAACCATCGTCTTCCTCACTGCCGTGATCATCCTCATCCGCTCGACCCAATTTGCTCTCAGAAATAGCCTCGATGATGTCATTATAGGGGTCAGAGTCGCCGTCGGTATCTTCTTTGGGAACAGGTGCATTGCTGATGCCGCCCAGGTGTGCTAGTGTGAGAAGAGCTCTGTCAGTGATCAGAGGGCCCAAAACCTTTTTGTCCCTCGAGAGAATCCGTATGGATCTCAGGCATACTTTCAGCACACGCCCTTGCGGTTCAGTCTGGAGGAACCTGATTAAAACTGTAGCCAGAGCCTGAGGGAATGAAACAAATGATACAAAGGCGGAAACTGGTTTTAAAATGGTTTAGGTGTGTATTTGTTTATAAGAGCCAAGGTTACCTGTCTCAAAATGACATCTGGGTTACTGGATTCATCATAGTCTGAATCAGAGTCTGACATATAATCCCGCACTTTATTCTTTCGGAACTGCAGTGACCAAAACAATAACACAAAGTATTATGGGAACAAATCACTAATTATGGGTGTCGCTAGCAATGCAGAAATTGTACACCTTTAACCCCTCTGGTGTTCCGCAATTAGGACGGTCAAAACAGACTGAGGGCAATAAGCATAAGTAATTTTGTTTTAATTGAATGATTATAATATATTTTGTTTCAATAATATTTGTTCTTTCATGGTACTAGACAATATTCATCTCCAAGTTATATATTTATGCCTATATATAAAATTATACAAATATTAGCAAAATATTTCAAACAATTTTTAATTAATACAGCGAAAACTTAAAAATATAGCAAAGCTATTTGATTGTGAAAAATGAATGGAATTGTTCACATTTGATTAAATTTTAAAGTTATTCAATTAAGTTAAGTTTTAAAGTTATTAAATCAAATTAAAGTTTTATGCATTAATTACCAAAATGTTTAGTAATAAATATCTGTGTGTGTATATTCTTAAATTGTTAAAGTTTTATGCATTTAATTGATTAGACATCTTTTTATTAAAATGTAAGTAAAACAAAATTCTGAAAAATCAAAACGGAAAACAAATAATTTGAGGGGAAAAAATAAATGGATTTAATAGGGCCCTACATGGTTTAATCCCTGCTGGTAGAAAAAAAAAGTATATGTCTATATAAAATAAAACAAATATTAGAAAACTGTTTTATATTTATATGCAACATACGTAGAAAATCCTAGGCAGATTGGTGCCCTCTGGTGGGAGTAATATTGAAATTCATATGTAATACCATGATGTAACCACTAGATGCCTTTGTAGCCTTATATGTAAATATCAAGCGGCAACCTTCCGCTCTCTCTCTGAAACCAACACGGAAGTGACTAAAACTGCAATTCCTCGACTGGCCGCTTGGCTCCAAAAGGGAGTCAGTCCCATAGACTCCCCATGTTAAAATGCCCAAATTTACAGCAGAAAAAATATGTTTACAGCCTGGTACAAAAAGTGGTTTTGGTCTATATAGCTAATTTTGCCCTTCATGACAACTGTGAGGGGGTGAATTTTTTTATAACTCGTCCCTTTAAATTATATTAAGCCTTAAAGTTCTGCATAATTAAGGGCGTGGCCACTTGAGTGACAGGTGGATTGCCGCTGCTGTCACCACCGTCGAGCTAGGTGGGCGTGGTTTCAGCAACCAGCTCCCGCCTCTTTGCCCATTTTCGATTATCCGGGAGTGACGCGCTGCCAAGTTGGCGATGGCCGGCTCCGCCCACTTTGAGCTTCAAAAACTCTCTTCAGAAACCTACGGGTGACGTCACGGATATTACGTCCATGTTTTTATACAGTCTATGGTAAATATATATGCTCTGTGATCCCCTAGTTTATTATAAGAGTATTTTGAGACATGATTACTTACTTTGATTAGATTTGCATTTGGATATAGATTTAGGCTATCTATTTCATCATGGCTGATTTGTAGATTGTACCCCCCAGAAATAGCTCCGTATTTTTGTATTTCCTTTTAATTTCTTATGGCGATCATAAAATATAAAAAAAAAAAAAAAAAAATTCCGAAGGTACGATTTTACAGTTTAAAATCGCTGAAGACCACCAGAGGGTTAACAGCCGTCAAATGCTTTTCAGGATGTCAGTAGCCTTAGAAAATTCAAGAATGTAGCTTTTAAAAAAGAAAATAATACCTCTTCCAGCTCCAGCCTCTTTTCAGATTGAACAAGCAGCCAAACAACAGAATAATAAGAAAATTATTACACCATCCGAAAAGATAAGACAAAGAAAATATGTAAAATATATTTATTCTGAGTGTGTGTTTTAACAGTCTGTAACAGAGCTAGTAGACCAGGAAGAGAAATCTATCCCAGATAGATATAATGTTGAGTTTTCATCCAAACCATCATTTTGGTTGAGATTAAAATCTTAATGTAAAATCAGCATCACACCATAACTCTAATTAAGTGAACAATTCACATGTTTTTTTATTGAAATTTCAACAGTCTTAACGTTTACTGAGGATGCAAAAATTATAGTAAACCAACATCTCTTTGTAATGTTAATTCAATGCAATTAACGTCCACACATCAACACTGACTTGCTCTCTGGGATGGATTTGGTAGAGAGCTTATGGTCTAAATATTAATGAGCTGCAGGCCGAGGATCACATCAGCTGCAGTATCAGCAAACAACTGAGGACATGCAAGAATATTTCCTGCCCGGAGGAAAACGGCACGGCTCAGAGAACTCCATGGCGTTCATATACAGAAATCTTAAATATGAGCACAGTTAGAGGAGACCTCATTTCTGAATGTGTGTGTGTAATTGCACTCAAATATCTCTTACTCTTCTTCTCTCCCTCTCCTCCAAATCAGAAGAAACACTGTGCATACTAGGAGAGAGCGAAAATATTGAATTAGAAAAGAGCAGTTACATAAAATGTGAATTGTGAGTACACAACAAAGTAGATTGTTTTGTGATGAAATGTATTGTCAGTATGAATGCTATTAATACACTGGTTTTGGAGCCACTGGACTGAATATAATCAGTTTTTAGTTAATTGTAAGTACCTCTCGAATAAATTGCTGTAGTTCTGCCTTCAGCCCTTTCTGATCATCCTCTCTGATACACTCGATAATCCTCTCTATATTCATTGCTGCTCGAAAACACAAACGCACATACATAAACAAACAATAAACAATTTATCAAAAGCATCTAAGATGGGGCACAGAAATCTGAGACCATTAAAATCCATGATTTTACTGAAATGAGCAGTTTTATGGAAAAATTCAAATCAAAAGAAATATATATACTGTATGTTATAATTCACTAATCAAAAGTAATAAATTATTGATCAGTGTAATCAATCCATTATTAAAGCAAAAAGGTACAAACTAAAAACAAAAACAAATCAAAACATTCTGATATAATAACATTTTCAATTCAACTTTTGATTAAAAATGTATAATAAATGAAATCAATATAATGATTTATGTTTAATGTAATAGATGTAATCATTACATTAATTAATAACATAAATTACGTTCATTACATAAATGTCAATTCTAAATAATTTATATACATCATGTACTGTATAAAATGCAATATTACATTTATAAAATTACATTCTGAAATATAACATTTTCAATTCAATTTTTGATTCAGAATTCATAATAAAGGAAATTCATGTAATAAATAATAATGTAATACATGTAATACTATGTCATTTACATAAAATGTAATATTACAATTAATATAATAAATTATTTATAGATATAATTAATTATATGAATTGCAATATGACATTTATAAAATTACATTATATATATACATATAAACATACTTTTACATAAACGCATGCATTTATGAATAAATCATTTATATTAATAATTGAAATGGCAAAATAGAATCCTTATCAAGACATAAATACGAAATTTCCATATTAAAAACACAAAAAGAATCCGGCATTTAAATCAATTCCAGATTTCCTTCCACTCCAACCAAAACAGTTGTCTCCTTTATATTTGTGTTAGTTTATCCTCTTACCTGTGAGCGTGTCTTCACCTGAGCGTGCCATGCAGGATGCAGTGCACCGGAGCCTTTAAATCTTTAATGTCTACTGGATTTGAATCACTTGCTCAGTTGCTGTGATTCTCTCTCTTCACCTGGAGGCCTTTTATCTAGATCTCTCTGAGATCTCTCTCTCTGTTTACCTCCAGCTCTGTCTCTACCCCCGTTTGTCTGTAATCCTGCAGTGCATTAGTTATGCTGTAATCCTTTAATGTCTTTTCACGTCATCTCTATTCACTCACACTATAAATAACCTTACAGCAGATCCAGTTGATGTGCAGTGACATACAGTAACCACTAGGTGGCAGTTCGATAGAAAGCAGTGACATGATGATTGATTACTGTCTGACAAGGTCTAAATATGTAATTAAACATTATTATGAATCCATAAACTATGAACAACCTAAACACAAGATAATAAACTGTAAACAGACAAAGCTGCTTTGTTATTGTTTAATTTAAATTCAAGTATGCTATCATTTTGCCATAATATGCTATAATTTTGTATATAGCATATATGTACATATACTGTCTATTGTCTTTTTGTTTATTGTGTATTGATTTTGTATATTTATTTTTATTTTGTTATCCTGTCTGTACACTGGAAGCTTCTGTCACCAAGACAAATTCCTTGTGTGTGAAAGCATACTTGGCATACTCTACCCAGCATGCACTTCAGACCTAAGGGTGTAATATATGTTAGATAATAATAAAAAATAAAAAATAAACTATTTTAACTTTTTTTTTTTTAATTATATAATGTTCAAATATAAATAAACAGTTATTTATGCAAGATACAATGCACTGGATGTAAGCTGTAACAATGTAAAATATATTTTGAAAATTCAAAAAGGTTAAAAAGAGGTTTTTCTCGTTTCCATCTAAAGACACACACACGCACACACACACGCACGCACGCACGCACGCACACACACACACACACACACATATCTTAACCATAGTCTTGTCTTTTCCTAAGATTACAGGTAATAGCAATCAAAAATGTATTTAGTTAATTTAGTTGAATAATAATAAATATAATAATTATTATTATTATTAGTAGTAGTAGTAGTAGTTGTCTTTTCCCTTTTAAATCCACACACAAACATACATTTTAACCATAGTTTCAGCTTTTTCTAAGTCATAGTTAAAATTTTATCATGTTGATTTAAACTACCAGTTATTCTATTACAAAAGATTCAATTGTTGGAAAAAAATGTCAACTTTAATTATCTTGATAAAGTACAGTTTCAGTACATTATAATAGGAAACATCTTTCTTCCCAGAGGGCCAAGTTATGATTGCAATTCTGATTTGCAAATGTTAATATAATACTGGATTAAAGTTTATTTTGTCTGTGTGGTACATATTAGAGGAATGTATTACTACATTTAGCTCATATGGGCCATATGGATATGACATTTACATTTATGTGTATGTGTGAATAAACATTTTAGTAAGTAAAACAGTACCAAGCGCTTGTGAATCTGTCATGTAACTGAGCCAGTGTGTTTCCTGACAGCATACACATCAGTGCCTATGGACAGAAAGAAAAACACACACACACACACACACACACACACACACGCACACACACGCACACACACG